GTCCGTGAATGCAAATGAGGTCACCGTCGGTGGTAAATCCGGTGACTGGAAAATCCCTCCTTCCTCTTCTTACTCTTTCAACGAATGGGCTCAAAAAGCTCGCTTCAAAGTCGGCGACTTTCTCGGTATACTCTCACAATCTCTTCACTTGTCTTCTTGTCTTAATCCTTGACCTTTTTCTCTGTTTCTTTCGATATTACTCTGTTTCTGACATTGTGCCACATGTTGTTTTTGATTCTCAGTTTTCAGGTACGAAGCAGGTAAAGACTCGGTGTTACAAGTGACAAGAGAAGCTTACGAGAAATGTAACACTACGAGCCCGAAAGCTACTTACACAGACGGGAACACTAAAGTGAAGCTAGACCAAACCGGTCCGGTCTATTTCATCAGTGGAACAGAGGGTCACTGTCAAAAAGGTCAGAAGCTAAGACTTGTCGTCGTTAGTCCACGTGTCTCTGCTTTCTCTCCGGCTCCTTCACCATCTGAGCTCAACGACGGTCCTGCCGTGGCTCCGAGTCCTACTAGTGGTGCCGCTAAGCTCACCGGAGTTTTCGGTGTTGTTGGCCTTGTTCTTGGATTCTGGACCTTGTTCTAAGAGAAGCTTTAGTTTTTTTTTTTATATATAATTAGTCTTTATTCTATTTATTAATTTTCGAATGTGAAAACAGAGATCTTTGTTCTCTCTCGCTAAGTGTTGTCGTTACTAAATGAAATTTATTATTTTTCGTTTCTATAAAAATATATTCTCGATAAATTATATGGTTCTATTCTATCAACAATTGACAAAGAGAAAATTGGTTAAGAAGTTTGAATCAGTGAAACTTAAAAAAAAAAATGTTTGAATCAGTGAAATAAAAACAAAAAAAAATTTAATTTGAAGTTTGCAAAAACAAAGAATTAGAAAAATTATGATAAAAAAAGAATTAGAAAAATAAAATAAAAACTATGGGCCTAAGATAAAAAATGAAGTTAGTATTAAATTGGGCCACTAGTAGGCCCAAAGATATATTGTTAGAGGAGAAAAAACGGTAAGGAGCTAGTGGAGCGAGCGAGCCACTGGTTTTATCCTTTCCACAAGTTTTTTTCTTTCGCTTCGAAATTTTTTTCATCGGGAAATCTCCGGTTCACCGGAAATTAAGCTCCGTAGTGTTTTCGCCCGGTGAACGGAGACGTTTAAAATCCTTCATAACTATTTCAGTATGTCTTTTGGGTTTTGTTAGTCACATCTTCTCCACTTGAAATGTGAAGAATCATCGTTACTCTCTGTTTCGCTTTCAATTTTTCCTGGAATTGCTTGTTTTGGCTTATCCTGAAAAAAATGGTAGCGTTACTCTGCTCGACGAGTTTTTGCGGTGATATTATGGTCAGTGATGCTTGTCTGATTAGTAACATCAATGGAAAATGTTGTCGGAGACGCGATATTTTGGTTACTAGCAGATTAAAGTCCCAACCTTTGAATGTTGTGTCTGTGAAGAAACAATGGAGAAAGACCATGAGATGTAGTGTAGTCTCCATGAAAAGTTCTGATTTTTCGGTTTCATCGAAATCCAATATGTCATCTGGTGAAGTTACGAAGATTTTAATGTCGATTCCTGATACTGATTCTGCGTTTTTGTATTTCAAATCAGTGGCTGAGAATCCTAATCTAGTTCACACCACTGAGACTTGCAATTACATGCTTGAATCTTTGAGGGTAGATGGCAAATTTGAGGAGATGGTTTATGTGTTTGATTTGATGCAGAAAAGTATCATAAAGAGGGATACTAATACTTTCTTGACTATATTCAAGTGTCTAGAAGTGAAGGGTGGATTGCGTCAAGCACCTTATGCACTTAGGAAGATGAGAGAGTCTGGTTTTGCGTTGAATGCGTATTCATACAATGGATTGATTCATCTTCTGCTTAAGTCTAGGTTTTGCACTGGGGCAATGGAGGTTTATAGAAGAATGGTTTTGGAAGGTTTTAGGCCTAGCTTGCAGACTTACTCATCACTTATGGTAGGATTGGGGAAAAGAAGGGACATTGAATCTGTGATGGGTTTGCTTAAGGAGATGGAGGCTTTGGGGTTAAAGCCGAATGTCTACACGTTTACGATATGTATTCGGGTGCTTGGTAGGGCGGGAAAGATTAATGAAGCATATTCAATACTGAAGCGAATGGATGATGAAGGATGTGGACCTGATGTGGTTACTTATACTGTTCTTATTGATGCTCTTTGTACTGCTAGGAAGCTCGATTGTGCTAAGGAGGTTTTCGAAAAGATGAAAACAGGAAAACACAAACCGGATCGTGTAACTTACATTACTTTGCTGGATAGGTTTAGTGATAGCAGAGATCTAGATTCAGTGAGGCGGTTTTGGAGTGAAATGGAGAAAGATGGTCATGTACCTGACGTTGTAACCTTTACCATTCTCGTGGATGCTCTGTGCAAAGCTGGGAATTTTGGTGAAGCATTCGATACATTGGATGTGATGAGGGAGCAAGGTGTCTTACCGAACCTACATACATACAACACGTTGATTTGCGGTCTTCTAAGAGTTCACAGGTTGGTTGATGCACTTGAACTTTTTGGTAAGATGGAGTCTCTGGGCGTTAAGCCTACTGCCTATACGTATATCGTTTTCATTGACTACTATGGAAAGACTGGAGATTCCGTCAGCGCTCTTGAGACCTTTGAGAAGATGAAAACCAAAGGCATAGCTCCCAACATTGTAGCCTGCAATGCGTCTCTCTACAGTCTAGCTAAAGCGGGAAGGGACCGAGAAGCGAAGCAAATCTTCTATGGCTTAAAAAAAATAGGGCTTGCTCCTGATTCAGTGACCTATAACATGATGATGAAGTGCTATAGTAAGGCTGGGGAAATAGACGAAGCCATCAAGCTGCTTTCTGAGATGGTGGAGAACGGTTGTGAACCTGATGTTATCGTTGTTAATTCTTTGATCAATACACTTTACAAAGCTGATAGAGTAGACGAGGCATGGAAGATGTTTATGAGAATGAAGGAAATGAAGCTCAATCCCACAGTTGTGACATACAACACATTGCTCGCAGGTTTAGGCAAAAATGGAAAAGTTCAGGAGGCGATTGAATTGTTTGAGGGGATGGCGAAGAAAGGTTGTCCACCTAACACTATAACTTTCAACACTCTCTTTGATTGTCTTTGCAAAAACGACGAGGTGAATCTGGCCTTGAAGATGTTTTTCAAGATGCTGGACATGGGTTGTGTCCCAGATGTTTTTACTTACAATACGATTATCTATGGTTTGATGAAGAATGGTCAAGTCAAAGAGGCAATGTGTTTCTTCCACCAGATGAAGAAACTGGTGTACCCTGATTTTGTTACACTCTGCACTCTCCTTCCAGGTGTTGTCAAGGCCGGTTTAATCGAAGATGCTTACAAACTTATCGCTAACTTTCTTCACCACAGTGCAGACCAACCGGCCAATCTTTTCTGGGAAGACTTGATGGGATCTGTCTTGGCTGAAGCTGGAATAGACAATGCCGTTTCATTTTCTGAGAGATTGGTTGCTAATGGGCTTTGTCGAGATGGTGAATCGATCCTGGTGCCAATAATCAGATATTCTTTTAAACATGGTAATGCCTCAGGTGCTCGAACTTTATTTGAGAAATTCACAAAAGATCTTGGTGTCCAGCCCAAACTTCCAACCTATAATCTGCTAATCGGCGGGCTTATTGAAGCTGATATGATTGAAATAGCACAGGAGTTGTTTCTAGAGGTGAAGAGCACTGGGTGCATCCCAGATGTTGCTACCTACAACTTCTTGCTTGATGCTTATGGAAAATCTGGAAATATCGACGAACTCTTTGAGCTGTACAAAGAGATGTCTTCCCATGAGTGCGAACCAAACACAATAACTCACAACATTGTCATATCCGGGCTTGTGAAGGCGGGAAATGTGGACGAGGCTCTTGATTTATACTATGACCTTATCAGTGCTGGCGACTTCTCTCCAACTGCTTGCACATATGGTCCCCTTATCGACGGCCTCTCTAAGTCGGGAAGATTATATGAAGCAAAACAACTCTTTGAAGGAATGTTGGACTACGGTTGCAGGCCAAACTGCGCTATCTATAACATTCTCATTAACGGGTTTGGAAAAGCGGGTGAGGCTGATACAGCGTGCGTGTTGTTCAAAAGGATGGTTAAAGAAGGAGTAAGACCGGATCTCAAGACATACTCAGTTCTAGTAGATTGCCTTTGTATGGTCGGAAGAGTGGATGAAGGCTTGCATTACTTCAGGGAGCTGAAGGAATCCGGCCTCAATCCCGATGTAGTATGTTACAATCTCATAATCAACGGACTTGGGAAATCTCAGAGACTTGAAGAAGCTCTTAAGCTTTTCAATGAGATGAAGAACAGCAGAGGAATCACTCCTGATCTCTACACTTACAACTCATTGATTCTAAATCTTGGTATCGCTGGAATGGTGGAAGAAGCTGGGAAGATTTACGATGAATTACAAAAGGCGGGTCTTGAACCGAACGTTTTTACATTCAACGCTCTGATCCGTGGATACAGTTTGTCTGGAAAACCCGAGCACGCTTACGCAGTGTACCAGACAATGGTGACCGGAGGTTTCAGCCCCAACTCAGGAACATATGAACAGCTCCCCAATAGAGCTTGACATTTTACACAGCAAATACAAGTAGAGCTCTGCTGAACAGTTTATGTCCATGCCAAAGTGTACAAAACATAACGTTGTGTAAATGTCATATTGTTTTGTTTGTTTACATCATGATGATTTGATGTTCTTTAAGGCCAACAACATTTGACATCAATCATTTCTTCTACATTATGGAAGGTCATGAGACAAAAGTCCGGACGCAGAGGAACTGGAATACTAAATCCCCAGGAACGTCAGGTTATGATATAAGTCTTTCAAAAGAATTTACAATGTGAACCAAAATATCAGATGTCAACTTCCGTGACTCTGAGGATGGTGCCTAGTTTGACGAGCTCGGCTCAGTGTCAGCTTGGCTTGGTTCTGGATTCCGTTCGGTTTCTGATGGAGTAGGTTCCGTGGACTGAATAGGCTTCTTGAATTGAACCAAGATCATGGTCATGTTATCACAGCCTTCACCACCTGCGGTGTTTGGAGCGAGACATCTATCGAGAACTTTTTCACATACCACCGAGAGTTTGGTTTCCTACATAATTCGAAAGAGAGAAAATGTAGAATCCAGAAGAGGAAATACTGGAAATAAAACAGTAATCCAAACAAAGACAAATCAAGTTAGCTTACCGAATTCATCTGTTCATGTATAAAATCAACGAGTTGTTGGCTTGTCATGCAATCCCTGCAGATGTGAGATGAACCAAGACGATCAATATCACTATCAAGAAATGAACTTGTTTGGATAACAAGATAAAAAAAAATTCAAATTGATTTTACCAAATTCCATCGCAGGCAAGAACAAGGAAATCGTCATCATCGCAGAGTTCGACCTGAAGAGAAAATCTAAACGTGTTATAGAAGATGTATCAGGAGAAAGAGAATCGGCATTAGACCCGCTTACAGTGTTTATATCTGGACTGGCCGTTACGATTTGCTTCTCAGATGACAAAAACTTATTCTTCTTGAATTCCATGTCACCTGTCAAAAGACAAAGAGTAGCTCCAATCAGAGATTTCAAGTAAAAAAGCTGCAATGTGTGAAGAAGAGGTTACCGATAGCTCTTGCTAAATTCAAGCTTCCATTGACTCGCCCAGCTTGAATAAAGCCACCAGCTTTCAATATTCTTTCTTTTTCAGCTTCAAGATCTGGTTTGTGATCTCTAGAAAGATTGTAAGCCTGTAG